CAATAATCTCACTTTGATATGATTATTAATAAGACGTAATAAATAAAATTTTAAAAGTAAAAACAAACACTTGTGCCTTGAAGCAAACGGAGGCAACTTTGAACAGTTACTCCGTGAGTAATTATGATAAATTGCAATTATGGTAAGAGGCAAGGGGACTTACGATAATCAAGCACTCCAGATGTGAGAGGCAAGGGGACTCACGATAATCAAGCACCTCAAAGGAAACAGAACTTATTAAGTCCACGTCGTTGTTTCCGGGTAACGCTAAAAGTATTGAATTGACATCTTCCAAGTTCTTGATTTGACCTTCTTGGACTCAGAAAAAAAAAATCTAAATATCATTTTTAACGTAAAATTTTCTGCTCTTTTCGAACCCGATATCAAAAATAGGGGTTCTAAATAACTCGGCCAACGCTAGTTTAAGCCAATGATAAATACGACCGAGTCTACCCAGTAAACACAAAGTATCATCGATGTTATAATGTCAGCTCAGTCATATGATATATTACGTAACTGTTACTTTGTTATATAACAAAGTAACAGTCACATAATATATCATATGATTGAGCTGACATTGTAATATGGATGATACTTTGTAACTGTTTACTGGGTAATTTGATTGAAATTTAAGTATAAATAAATGAATAAATAAAAACAAATAATTATATTAAAATTATATTAAAATAATATATTAAAAATTCATATTAATAGTTTAATATTAATAATTATATATTATATATAATTATATATAATTGGATTAGTCTAAATAAATCTATGTAAAAATAAATTTTATTGACCTAAGTAAGTAGAATATACTAAGGCGGAGGAATATATTATAAATTGCACGATGAGAAATAAAACACCGGCATATAAAAGCTTTGATAGTTGTGCAAATTATCGTATAAGAGAATATCTGAAATATATGCGGAAATGATTGCAATTCCACGATATCTGAACGCTACTTGTCCCGTTACCTTTTACATCGTTATGGCGCAATGAATGGGAATTAACGGTCCGGTGACGCAGCTGCAGCGGCGTTCGATCTGCTTTAATTTGATGAAGCCGGCCGCGATAGTCGGGGGAAAATTGAATTCGCATATCGCGACGTGCAAAAAATTGCACGCTGAGTCTCTAGATGCGCGCAGTCGATAGCAAATCGTCTTATGAAAAATTGCATCGTTCTCTAAAATACCAAGCAATTCGCCATCGTCCTCGTTGTTGCTGTTAATCCCGCAGCAATGGTGTTTTCATGAAAAAAATATCCGCGTTAAGGGAGCGAGCCGACGAACTTGATAAGCGTCAATACTGTAGAGCGATCATCAAAAAGTAGAAAACGTTATCATCATTTACCAATGATATCGAATTTATATTCACATAGAAACTTATGGAATAAAGACGATCGTCAAATAGGCGCTAACATAATACCACCATCATCTTTTCATAGATGTTATGCAAGTGTGTGTTGTTATTTCAATTTTCTTACACATAGATGTCACGTAAATGCGAATGCTACGTTGTCGATATACGCATTCTCTCCAAAATAGGCTCCTGCTACTTTTCTAATGAATTCTTTAAGCCGCTTGTGTACTGGGTACATCAAAGAAAGAGTTTTTAGAGAAAAGTGTTGTAGGCGCAAGCGTAGTTTGCGAATAATTTTTTGAAAAATACGTTACCTATTATTTGAGTTTTCAATATAATTAGCAACGGTAATTTGAGATATCATTTTCACTTCGCACTGACCAATGTTACACTTTATTTTCGCACGTAATTTTATCATGTAAATTGAAGCAGTCAGTACGCTGTAATTTTTAAAAATGAAATTAGTGTCACGACAGCAATAGTTCCACATCGTTTTCATCCTTGAGGTAGGAATGCCCTATTTCACTTATGCATGCACCATTGCTATACAAAAACATTTTTAATTTGGTTAAGTCAACACAAAGTAAAATTTGCTGGGAAATGTCGTTGACGTGATACCGAATACATTTGAAAAACTATTGTCTCGTGCTGATTCGACCAAATTAAAAATCCTTTGGTGAAAGTACGTGCAAAAATGAAGCGGAACATCCATCCATATGAGATGAAAACGATAAGGAACAATTATTACGATATCGAATCTTTCTGCAAAATTTAATACATCTTTGCAAACGCAAAAATTACTTTAAACAACTGTAAGATATTATCCCAGAATGTGCTCTAGGTGCTAACACTAAATGACCTAAATAAACTGCAGTAACATGACCGACTTTCGGCCAATGCGCGAGAATCCGATATTTCTATGACGCTAAGTTGGATCTAACGTTATGAACGCGGCTTTGGGGTATTGGACAATTATTTTCAAAATTCTGGGCGTGTTACTGAGGGAGTGGAGTGACACAAACACACATTGTCATCCAAGAGACGATGCAGAGCGAAATACGCACACTTTACAATATTTTCGAAAATACACCTTTGCAAATGCGAAAATTACATTAAGAAACTATGAAAAATTATCCCAGAATATGCTCTAGACGCTAACACTATATGACGCAAATAATCTGTAGTAACATGAACGACTTTCGGCCCATGCCTGGGAATCCGACTTTACTACGACGCTAAGTTTGATCCAACGTTATGAACGCGATTTCGGGCTATTGTAAAATTATTTTCAAAATTCTGGGCGTGTTACTGGGAGAGTAGAGTGACATTAATACACATTGTCATCCAAGAGACGATGCAGAGCGAAAAACGCATACGTGACGTCATTTTCGAAAATATATATTTGCAAACGCGAAAATTATATCAAAAAATTGTAAAAACTTATCCTAGAATATGCTCTAGATACTAACACCATATGACCTAAATAACCTGCAATAACATGACCGATTAGGTACATGCTCGAGAATCTGAATTTCCTACGACGCTAAGCTGAATTCAACGTTATGAACGCGACTTTGGGATATAAGAAAATTATTTTTAAGATTCTGGGTGTGTTACTAAGGGAGTAGAGTGACATTAACACACATGGTGATCCGGGTGACGATGCAGAGTCATATAGTCCAACTTTACGTCGAATATACATCTTTGCAGATGCAAAAATTACTTTCAAAAATTCTAAAAAACTATCCCAGAATGTACTCCACACGCTAACATTATATGACTTAACCTGCAGTAATATGACCGACTTTCGACCCATGCGCAGATAGGTACCACTGCGCATGCGCGAGAATCCGAATATAATCCTACAATGGATTTAACATTATGGGGATTTTGGGATATTGATGAATTATTTCCAAAATTCTGAAAGTGCTGCAGAGGGACTAGAGTGATGCTACCACACATTGTCATCAAGGAGATGATGCAAGACGAAATGCGCACTTCTTCTTCGAAATTAAACTCTCGTAACCGCGAAAATTACTTTAAATGACTGTGAAAAATTACCCTATAATGTGCTCTACATGCTAACGCTACATGACCTAACCTGCAGTAACATGATCGACTTTCGGCCCATGCGCAGGATAGGCCTACTGCGTATGTGCGAGAATTCGAATATACTACTACGATGGATCTAACGTTATAGGCGCGACTTTGGGATATTAGGAAATTCTTTTCAAGATTCTGGGCGTGCTGCTGAGGGAGTGGAGTGACATTAAACATCCAAGACACGATACAGAGCGAAATACGCACACTTCACGTAATTTTCGAAAATACACCTTTGCAAATGTGAAAATTTTTTAAAGAAACTTTAAAAAATTATATCAGGATACACCGTACTTTTATCACACTTTTCACAACGTCCGAATATTCAGAGTGTATATATATACATTCTGAATATTTGGACGTTGTGAAAAGTGCGATAAAAGTACATTGTCATCTCGAAAAATATCCATGAACTAATTTTTCGCTCTACTTTATCATAGTTGTCGGAAAACCTAACTGCATGTAATTATAAACTTTTCTGCAAACTTTTCGTATCTTTTTTGGCATCGAAACTAAATTCTGAAAGTGATCTTTGAAACTTTCCTGATTGGAGCATTGGCAGTTTCAACCTGCAGAATATTTGTATTAAACAAATATTGCACTAACTGACAGCTCAAAATTTAAATTTAAACATATTTTTTTTGTCACATATTGAGCAATGCTCCAATTAATTTTTACATGCACTTTTGTTGTGTAAAAGCGTTTGTAATTCTGTGCAAACAACAAGACGTAAACTTCGCAGAAAAAAGTCAATGTTATGTTGGTAAAGTTTTCATATCCGGCATCTTCTTAAAGAACTACGCATTAATGCGACACGAATTTGGCGTCTCGATTAAAAAAACTCGCTCCTACAAAGTGACTAATTACGCTAACGTCGCAGCGAAATGAAACATTTCGCATGAAACTTGCACATGTTTTCTGTCGCCTTAAAATCCTTTTTGCATTTGAATACGTATAATATATAAATTAAGAATATATTAACATTAAGAATACACACTGAAAAGAAAAGATTTTTTAAAATTTATTCGCGAGATATGAGGCTTATTCGTAGTAATAAACTTTATTTCACAGAAATGAGCTCACAAATAAATCCTCAAGTATTTTTTTCTTATCGCAAGATTTACGCAAAATTGCGATTTTACGGCAAACCCAGTTTGTACTCGGTTGCAATGACCAGCTGACCATAGCTGTCGTGGCGATTTAAATAGATGCGTCCTTTAATTATCCGGATTATGTTGACAACGTCGCGCCTAGAGGCTGAGAATTTCTCATAAGACCCGTGTCGAAAGGCGTCGCGGCGCGAAGGGTCTGCGGGGAAAGCTCTTTTGTGCAATGGAATACCTGCGTCTGAGGCAAGGACACGGCGTATACTCGCGAAACTTTATCAATTAGCGGGCCGTGGCCCAAATAATCGCGTCTCCATTTCATCAAGTTGGACAGAGGCTGGCAAGCCGAGGCTGGCGGTTGAACCGCGTGACAGTCGATGTATAAGTTAATGCGGAAAGCTCGGTTGGATCGGCGACGTTGATGCCGATGCCGGATACCGACAGGTTGCCACTTCCCTGGATAAACAGACGCAAAGTACACACATGTACACCTTCGACGCATATCCATGCACACACACACACACACATGGGCGCGCGCACTTCTCACCGGATAGATTTTACACGATTATGTAAATTTTTGACGACGCTTCAGCGAAGTTGGCACGCCGACGGAGCTGTGTACGGTGCCTACGAGACTGGACACGTGCGGCCGAGCCGCTACTTACTATGCGGTTTCCCGTCAGTTTAGTCGTTACACGTGCACGTCGCCGACTTCTACAACGGCAGGAAGGCTAACGCGATTTTAAACCGCGGCTTTAAGGCGGGACTTTAACGGCGGATTTACTTTAGCGACGCGGAAGCGCAGGCGGCTCCTCCCCCTCCCCCACATTCTCTCCCGTACGCCAGTGTAATAACATATTAATCGCGGTCATTATTCGTTGTAACAACAAGTTCAACGTTGTTTTATCCATTCATTTATTCCTCTTTTGATTCAGTTCAACGACGTCATTATGATACAATATAGCGCGTGATCTATCTTACAAGCGCAAAGAGTAACGAGATGGTTTTTTCGTTTTCTTAAGAAATGGTTAACAACATACCCCCCAAGAAGAGGTTTCCCAGACGTTTCCATTACTTCTTTGTCTCTCCCGCCGTGGAATTTTCGTTATGTTTATTTGTACTCTCTGACGCTCGCGGTGAGCTTCCTTTCTTTTCTTCCTTCGTTATTTCTTCTTCATGGTAGAGTAGACTCGACTTTAAAGACCGAGTAATTAAGAGAAAGGTTTACGTAGTATCACAGACGGAATGGTTTTCTTTCGCGGATAGGTGGCGTATCCTCGTACCTTCGCGGAAATTCGAAGCTGGGAAATGGTGTGCGTTAACCACCTCGCGTCTCGCGTTGGAATATTTTCGCGCCGGAAAACGTGTCAGATATAATGGGAACGCGTGCATCAAATTGGCAGTTAAAGAATTACCTCGTTACATTGTCACACAGTGTCATTGAATCGTGCCATACGGACATCAAATGCCTTCTTCTTGATATTTTAGGAATAACCGCTGTATCTTCGCTCGAAGTGAGAATTTTTTTCTATTTTTTGTACGTAATAAAATTAGAAGTGTGCGCGAGAATAATAATACGTACGTATTATTACTCTCTCTCTCTCTCTCTCTCTCTCTCTCTCTCTCTCTCTCTCTCTCTCTCTCTCTGTCTCTCTCTTTTCACATTTTATTCTAGAACGCTAACTTGTCATTTAAAAAGAGAAAAAGAAAAAGAATCGTCGTATATAAAATAAACCATCAGGTTATTTTAAATCAAACGAAGTCCGATTAAAAACAACTTTATGGAGAATTTGTTTTTTAAATATAGGAGACCGGTGTGGATTGGTATAACCTCTCAGAATTTCGCTGTTATAATTTTTCAGGCAACTAATTGTTGGATTAATTCAATTGTTTTATGATTTATTATCACAATTTATTTCAGAAATAATGAAAATTTCAAAGCGTTTACTACGAAGATCATCAGTGATCGTTAAACTGTAATCTGATCTTTTAATGGCGTCATCGCCAATAAAATCGCTTGCGACCTTCCAGTGAGATAAGTTATCACGATGAGATAATTTATTTTAATTTTATCAATTTCATTGTTATGATGTGCTTGAGATCATAGAAATCGCGCGATCGACGTGTTAACAGAGACAGCGAAATTTGTTTTCGTGGTTTGAATGAAAGAAAATCGCTCGAAACTGTACAAGGCGCGTGTGCGTTCGCGGCTGACTGAGACGCGTTGTGCCTTTGTGCAACTTTTGGAACAACGCGGACGGAGACTGCCGCGAGAATTCAGAGTTCATGGAATGTACCCAACGAATGGCGTGCATTAATTGTCCATTGTCCCTTGCCGCTCTAGAATACCTTGCGCTTGGGTACCCTGTTATGCGTCCGCTCAACTGTGTGTGCTCGCGCTATATGAGATTGGGAAGAATAATCACGTTACACGCAGTAGGTAACTCGGATCACTGTTAATAACATCGTCGCTCGACTACTCGTTCCGATCGCATTCGTTCTTCGAATATTCAATTAAAAAATCTGTTCAATAATTCCTTCTTGGACAGTTGTCAAATTGAAATAACGTTACCGTTTTACATGGCCTGGATACAATAGAGATAGAAAGATATCAAATCAATTGTGATAATTTTCCTCATGCGTTTGAATCTCTCCACACGCAGAGAATATTATAGTTCCATTTCATATTAATTTGTTCTCATTCTACTATGTTTTGAATAGTCCAGGAATAGAGTGTCATCAAGGCTTATCTTAAGGAATATAGTAGATTTCGCTAGAAATATAGCAAGCGTCTTATTTTTAAACGATGCATGTGATAACAAGGATATTGATAAAATTAAAGTATCTTATCGTGGTGACTTGCCTCACTGAGAGGTCACGAACGATCGCCATGAAACCACCACTAAAAAGTCAGGTCACAGATTACCGACCACCGGTGACCTCCGTAGCAAACGCTTCGAAATTTTCATATAAATATTTTAGGAGCATCTCAGCTCCTAAAATATAAATAACACATAGGAAATGGAAGATATTAGTAAACTACTGCAGAAGGTCAATTTACTCTTCGGTTGTAAAATCCTACAGTAATTTTTACCATAAAATTCTCTCCGTGTAGAAACATGCCCGGCAACCGGCTCTTCTATCTCATGGCGGTGAATTTTTGACGCAACGACACGTATGTCAATCGTCACACGAACTATTCGTGGAGTCTGTGCGTTGTCGCCGAACATCATCCCCGTAATCGCAACCGGTGATTAGACGGTTGCGCTCGCAATGCGTATGAATAATTTCCTGCGCGATTATGCGTCGGGCGCCCCTTCGCGAATTTTACCAGCGGCGAAAGCGTAAATTCGCCCTGAGACACTCATCGCGAGACAGAGCGCGCCAATTTCCGGCCACCCCTGGTGATACGCCCTATAGAAGAGACGCGCATCGTCGGTCTCTCGCGGTGTGCGAGCGACGGCACGCCAAGCATTTATTCTTCACGGTGTCTGCGGCGTAATAAAGCGTCACGGGAGAACGCAAGCGGGAGTGCGCCGATCCGGAAAACCTCTCTCCTCTCTCTCTCTCTCCCCCTCCGTTCTGCATCGTGTCGCATCGCGGCACAGAAAGAAAGTAGGCATGAAAAGAGGCGCATGCCCCCGCGACCGCGGCCCATAGCCGCGTGTACGTACGTGGAAATTGAAAATACTTTGCATAGTCGCGACGCGAAGCGTTCGCTCGGTGGCGCGCGATTTGCGAAGCGTTAATCTCGAAACGCACCACCCGTGCGCGCCAGCCAGCTCGCCGGTATGCGCGTTTTCGCTCTGAGGCCGCGATCCTCGGCCTCGGAAGAGGAAAACTTGCGGTGCAAACTCCAGATCCGATGTGTGATTCTCGACAGACGTCCAGTTTGAAAGTCGCGAGGCCCTAGCGGTCACGAAATTGCGATGGGCAACTTTCGACAAAAGATCACTCGGAAGTTACACTTTCTCGATGAGAAGTCTGAGCTTCTCGCCTTCGCGGGGCATTGCGAGTCGATGTCGCGTGAGATCATGTCGGCAATGTCGTAGGAGGGAATTCTCGCGTGTGTTTTTCGTTCGAAATTTTACTCTCCATTGCCGATACGAATGTAAGAATTGCAGCTGAATCGAATTGACGGCACAGATCCGACGATCAATAGGAGAAATTCCGCAGAGAAACCGCGGAGGAATAATAATTATAAGACGTAAATCGCAGACACGAGATGGAGTATCGATTCGATAGTCTGCGAATAAATTTCAGGTGTGCAATCATATTGGAAGATTAACTTCGTAACATGAACTATGTTACCTCGTGGAATGCGTGGAATCATGCGGCAGGACGATAAATTCTAAATTATACGAGGCATGTTGGAATGAGACATTACCGCTTACGGTAAATAATAATGCTCCGCGTCTTATTTGCCGACTGTAATAGTGATAATTTTACGAGAGACGAATCTATCAGTGTAAATCAGGACGAGAAACAAAGAAATTGAGTAATAATAAATTTCTGTCAAGTGTTTTTGCTTAAAAAACAAATTGTATATTCCTTTCAGTGTTGGGCACTAATCGATTTAAATTTTCTTTGACCAAAATAATCCGCAGATCAATAATCAGAATCAAGCTCTCTCTCCCTCAACCGTTATATATAAAATTACAAATTTTTCAATTAATATAATTAATTAGCATATAATCGATCATATTAACTTAATTAATTAATAATTAATCAATCAATAATCAAACAATCTGAGAAATAAATTATTCATAATGTTATACATGACGATTAATTAAATTTGAGTATTGACTTGCGTAGATTATTTCAGTCAAAGGAAATTTTCATGGATTAATGTCCAGCACTGGTTCTTTTGGCGGCCATGTTGTCGCAATAATGTTGACATGAAGCATTGTACAATATTACATAAAGCTGAATTATCATTACCGATTACACATATCAAGGGAGTCGCGTAACACAATGTTCTGTACACAGTGTTTGTAATGATAGCATTGATAGTTGGAACGAGAGATAAGCGACTCTACTCCGAGGTACAAGTACGGTTACGCGCGAGCACAGCCTTGTTGCGGCAAGTCCGCTCGGTTATCTCGACACGGATTTCCAAAATAGTCGTAATTATAACGTCCTCGAGGAGCATGCTCGTCCGATAGAGGGACACAGTGGATACGACAAACCCTGTGTTCCATGGACGGTACCAGCACCGGCACTTGATAGCGCGTGATACACGAAAACAGAAGCTAAGTTGTGCACAATCATATCGGCTTGTTCGCGAGCGAACAATACAACGTTAAAGAAAGCGCAGCGTGTTCAGTCACTTGGCGCGGTATAAGCAAATTAGCGCGGTAAATACATTAATTATGCTTGTAATAATGGATGAAGTTAAACGACAATTAGCTGATGTGACATCAGTTCCATTTGGATTTTTCAAATTATTTACGCACGGACATTAATGTAATAAAGAAATTAAAATTAAACTGTAATTGCTTTTGATAACTTCGTCAAAACGATCAAACGAGTTCGGTTATGTTTTGCGCGTTTGCCTTTACGTGCAACGTGTATGCGGTCGATCAGTACGTCCAGTGAATTTCTGCTTTTACTACTTGCTCCGCAGCATCGTGTGTCTACCTTGAGATATTACCGCGAATTTATTATTTGCAGTGGAACACAAAAGTTATAAAGGGATTATTGTAATATAACGTTTTAATTTCATTAGAGAAATTTTCTAAAAAGAAAAGAGCAAGCGAGTTTTATTCGATCACACGGAATATTTATAATATTATTATGAATGATCTTCCTTAATATTTTTTACGCATTATTTATGCAAACGTTGGCGGAAAAAGCGATGGTACGAGCAAAACACGATGAAAATATTAAATAATACTGACGGACAGTACAAAAAGAAAATTAAATTGAAAGATTTTTTTAGAATTTTTTTTCATTTCTTCTAAAAATTTTAGAGAAACTACGTACACACATACACACATTGTCCTATCTATATTATCATTAAAATGATACTATTGCTGACGAAAATATACGATCAATATGAGTATCTGGAATAAAGTGCGGGAAGCGTTATAGATCTCCGATTGTCCGCGATTCGTGACAAAAACGACGGGAAGCCGGACGGGGAAGCGTGCTCCATTACGACCCCAACACGTACCTCACCCAGTCGCGCATTGACCTACCTTAACTCAAGACTGCACCATTGAGATGTTGCTCAGCTGCAGTCGCATCCCTCGAAGGGCCGTGTTACGTCATCGCTCGCAGTGGGCCATAGTTGGCACGCGGCTTTGCCCTACGCAGACACCCGCGTCTGATTTATGCGCCCTCCCACGTTCAAGCGGATGGTGTGTATCGTAGGCATTGGCGCCGACAGTCACTCTTTTCTCTGGAACCACAAGACAGACATAATTTGAAGTCAAAATTACGTTGGGCGTGGTCGAAAAATTGAAGATTACATGTTACACACATCGATATAAATTCGATTGTATATTGCTTTTGGGAAAATTGTTTTATTTCGAATGCATATAATACGAAACGCAATTTATCGATGAATGTGACGATATTACAAGCCTGACGTCTGTTTGAATGCAAATGACGCAGTTACATTTAACAGTTACATTTCGCCAGATAATATTCCCCAAGGCTATGTATTGATCTTTATTCATTTATGCCGGATTTCATGCATACGAGAATGCAATTTAATGGTAAGCGTCCCAAATATTTCAAGATTTATTCGTATTGGTTACGCATTTATACACCTGGAATGAGTGCGAAAGAATTCGCCACACTCGAAAAAGCGATAACTCGCTTCGCCTCAAGTTATATGCATAAATTTGGAAAAACGGCGACGTAGGAGATGACAAATAGTCGTGAGAATTATACGGCCAGTGTGAAGAGTGAAAAGTAAGAACACTCGAAGTGGAAAAATAATATTTTAAAGAATTGGGATAATTGCGGCTGACAAACAGTTGTTGGCATATGAATTCAAATATAATAATCACGATTATAATTCCGCAGGTGTACAAATGCTGAATTCCCAGTTCCGCGCTCCGTGTAGATTCTAAACTTTGAACTGTAAACTCTCAACTCTTGACCCTCAAACCTTAGTTTTCAGCCTTCGTCTTCCGGCTCTTCGTTCTCAGCCCTTAACCTGGAATCCTCAACTTTCGAGTACCAACTCTAACTGATGTTCTATAGCCATGAATATGACTACGAAAATCAAGTTTCGTGCGGCTCGCTTGCGAGGAAGATTCTCCGCGTTGATGAGTTAAATCGGCGACATCGCCTGTGCAAAATCAAAACGCAGCTCGCGGAGAGCACGCCGGACGAAAAAAAGTCCAGAGAGTCGCGCGCGGAAGCTCTCGGGCCTAGGCTAAGTTTCTCTCTCGTATCAATGGCACGTACACAGAAGGGGTAGGCGTGGCACTCTGCGTTGGATGCTCGCGCGTGCACCGAACGCGAACGGGGTGAGACGGGGTCGCGCGAGAGGGTGGATACGTGCGTGCGAGACACCATACGAGCAAAGGGGAGAAACACAGACGAGTACGGAATTATTTCGCGAGATGAAAGGGAGTGGACGACGCGCGCGAGGCTGACGAGGACGGTAAATGAAGAAGAAATGAGCGAGAAAGAGAGAAAGAAACAGAGCAGGGGGAGAGGTAGGATGGATGAAGCGAGAGAAAGAGGGAGAAGGCGAGAGGAAGTGAATAGGGTTGAACATGCGGGGGTGAAATAGCGGACAGAGGGAAGCTGCGAGAGGAGGAACGTTCCTCCTTATCCTGCTGGTGCGAACGAGAGAGATGGAGAGAGCGTGTACCATGAAGAGAGTGGAGTCTCGCAAGAGTGAGAGGCAGAGCACGAGCAAGAGTGGGGAAAGGGTGAAGGAGAGCGAGAGAGGGAGAGAGAGTGTGAGAGAGCGAGAGGACGAGAGGGTGTGAGGGCGGGTGGGTGAGAGGGTGACAGAAAGAGAGAGAGAGAGGGAGGGAGAGAGACCTAGATAGAGGAAGACAGAAATACAGGGCGCGAGACCGCGCGACGCTTTCAGTCACCGCCCGATCCTCGGCGCGCACGGTTTCGGAGTGGGTGTTTCTCTGTCGCGAACAAAATCGGCGATTGAAATCGAGGTCCACCCGGAGGTGCGAGAGGCGCGTGTTCGAGTGCACGCGCTGAACGATGACGACGATGACGACGATGACGATGACGACGACGACGAGGAGGACGACGACGACGACGACGACGACGACGACGACGACGACGACGACGATGATGACGACTGCGATGACGAAGTGAGACGATCGTGTCGGAGAGATCGGTAATCAGGGAACAGAGTGCGCGTAATCGGTAACCGGTAATCGTCGAGATTCTGGTGTGGAAACCAAGTCGCGAAGGATGCGCTGGAAATCGAAGGAAAGCCACGACTGAATACTGCGATCGGTAGTACGCGAGCGAGAGATCGTTTCATTGAACGCCGAAACTAAGCTGAACCGGTCAAGATGCGAAGGGAGATCGTCGTCATCGTCGGTGCGGAAGTCCCGTGAAACTTTGCGATTCCTCGCGCTCCAGTTGCGGTTGTCTTGTTCGGCGCGACGTCATGATTCGTCGGGGTGTCCCGAGTCGATCGTGCTAGCTATGAGACGCTGTATGTTTCAATGACGTAAAACTGAGTCCGGGATCGTGTGAGTGTGTTTGAGCATCGAGTGTACCGTGAACTTTTCCCGAACGGTGCTTCAAAACTATCCGGAGATTTTTCGCGTCTGCAAGCACGATGTGAACTCACGAACTCACGAAATTCATGCTGACCTTCATTCACGGATCCGTCGCGATGACATGAGAGACTTCGAGCACCCCTGTCAGCCTAAGTGGAGTTAGGTGAGCGGAATTTAAAAGCGCTCTCACGCGCGCCGCGATGTCAGCAGGTGACTCTTTTAACTGTTTGCGTGCCAGGAAACGGAATCACAAGAATGTGTGGCGAAAGTGCCGCGCGAGACGGCCCGGCTCCATTGCTGATACTCTCGCGAGCGATTATCGCGCGATAACTGAGAGGAACACTTTCAAAAACTTTAAATAACAGTTGACAACGAATCGTATCATGAAACAAGAGACGAGAGATCGTTGAAAATCTTCCAGGGGAATAAGGGCAACGCGGTAGAGAACTAATTTTCGTCGATATTCTTCGATCTGTCACGACGAGTCGGCTTTAGGCGATACGGCAGATATAAACCAGCGACTAAAGTCTAAATAAAAATTCGTACCGAAATAAAAAAAAAAGTAATTAAGAGGTTTATGCACGCGATATGGCCGATGCCGCATTGGACAACGTCAGTGATTACATGCTCTGGAGCCGACTTCACATGAAGAGGCACCGGCGTGTTTTCTGGCACGCAAACGGTTAAAAGAATAGCATAGTGCGTCAACCAGATTTCACTGGTGTAGCATATTTTTCTGCCACTATATTTTTATATAAGCGAATATTAACACGGTTAAGAGTGTCATAATAACATATTCTTTTCAGAGTTTACAGAGACCCTTTACCGAGGATTTACAGAGATATTCACTTTCACGAACAAACATTATCAATTTGGAATTGATTTTCTAGAAAAAAAGAATATGACGTTTTTTTAAACCGGAACGTTGATTTTGAAAGGGAAGAAATCAAACATGGAGAGCTTTTTTCAGGTTGAATAACGAAGCTATTGAAGCGCTTCTTTTTTGTAGCCATTTAATTTCAACTTCAATCGAGGTAATAATCGTAATGTAAAATCTAATTATGCGAAATCGTTTAAATCGTTTTAATTTTGAAAGTCAAAGTATCGTAAAAGGAGGGAGAGGAGGGAGGAAATTGCGCTTTTCGAGAAATCTCTCTCAAGAAAGAATCGGTTGTAAATCAGGGGATTTTCATTGTGTGCAACGTTGGCACAGATTTCGATGCGCTCGTCACACGAAAGCAGAGCACAAGTGTATTCGGTGATTTGTAGTATCTTGAAATTGTTGGACGATATCCCGCGATTGTATGAAAGATTTCTGTAGGTTTACACAACGTTTACGCTCGCGATTAGTAAGACAACGTTAACCGCTCCCGTCGGACTCTATAATATCATTTAATTAACTCTTTGAATTTGAATAGCGCTGCTGCTCGGCTTTGCATTAATATCATCACATAACGACAATTGATATTATTTGAATTATTATTGCTGTTATATCCATAGATTAACAAAGGAAACTGGGGGTGGATTACGATAATTAAAAGTTGTCTGTCTATCAATTTGGGGTTAAAGTGACAATGAAACTCGCGTAACAGCATTTAAAGGAAATGATCACAATATAACGTGATGCACGCGGGATCAAGTTTCCGATTACATAGTTTAATTTAACGATACGTTTCCGAAAGATGCACAACATAATCAATAAATCAGTAAACGTTCGTTCGTGACGTAAACGGGAAAATCTTCTAATATAATAAACATGCAAATTTTTAGAATATTTATGGTAATTTTTACTATGTTCATGGTCACTTTTACTATGTCTTATTATAATTTTCATCATAGCGTCAATTTATTCCCGGACCAAAATTATATTGTAATTTTTACTACAATAATCTCTTCGTGTATTCTCCGTATTAACTTCGTCGAAAATGGAACAACACCCTTCGGGATTTTTCTACTTTCTTTGACAAAAAACGTGATATGTAGAAAGACACGTGAAATTTGTTGGAAATGAGAAGGGAAGACGAAGACTTCGCGATCCGTAATTCTTGCCCCTTTGGATTCGCAATTCTTCGCGGAATGCTATTCTGTGGATTATTCAATTTAAGAGAAAAGCTGATCTTCTAGTCGCACTTGAAACCGGCGTAATGTTCGCAGCTTGGTCGACCCGCGCTGATTCTCAACGTCTCGTTTGCGACATTCACCTCGCAGAAATTCGCGCTTCATTTCACGCTGGATGATCGGTGGGTCGACGGTGAAGTACCGCTTGAAATTCTTGAGAAGTCATTACGCTCCCGCGCGGCCACGACCGCTGTAAAATAACAAACCGCCGACGCGCTAAAAGAGATGGCACAGCCGTAGCTTACCGTCGTGTTGTCGGGAACGGATTACATATCCGACGTTGCGTTTCCGCGTCTGATATTTAAACGGGAAATCACGCGAAATAAGTAAAAGACAAACGCGACCGGGGACGGTCGGACAAGCGGGCTGCCCCGAAGGTGGTGACTGACCGAGCGACCCGTCGGGAACGATCGAAGGAGAAAATGCTATTTCGCTAATGGAAGGTCGGATCCGCAAATCGGCGGTACCCGAGAGCGCCGCTCGCTTCTTTGTCTTTTGGGCCCCGCACTCCGGCTTTTCAATTTAAAACGACTTCTGGCAGCGGGGGTTGCGCGAGGGTGACTTGGGTGGGAGGGTTGGAAGAGCTTTCCTCTCTTTCGATCGATATCGAGCGGGCGAAATGGCACCGGTAAATTGGAATTATTACCGATAACGACGTTGTCAGAGCCAGTCGTGGTTCGCGCGTCTTTGGAAGTCATTCCACGTAATTCGAGTATAACTTTTACCAAGCGCGGATCCCGCGTAGCTATGCGAACGATCGAGGCAACGTCAAAACCAGTTTTTCTCAGTTCGGCAAAGTGATTGTCGCAGAACTCGGGGGATTAATGTTGAACTCTTTCTGCGAGGTCACCCCGTAGAGCGGCGACGTGAATTTTCAACGGTTAAAAAAAATTGGGTAAAAGAAAAACTAAACCCCAAGGCTAGGCAAGTTTTGTTACACAAATCGCAGTCGCGAGTCAAATGAAGTAAAAATCGAGTTGGATTATTTAACTCGATTCGCAAGAGTTGCCTTACGACGAGTCTTCTTTCGCATATATCTAAGGGAACGTGTCCTTGCAACAAAATGTAACAGCAAGCTTGAGAGAAGAAAAAGACTTTATCTTCGATCTGATCCTTTTTTCCTTTACACATTTAGTGGAATAAAGGAATCCAGCCGGCGCGTACATGACCGATTTCTAATTAGCCGTTCGAGCTGAACCAGCGAAAGTTTGAGGGAGGAAAAGTCGGGCGCAGCAGCACCAAAGGCAAACTCGTAAATCCCGTGTCATTATTGCGACATTCGTTAGAAACTTCCCGCTCTGTCTTTGACGTCGTCGAGTTGCCGCGCGTTCCCCAGTTTCGTCATACCGCACGGCTGATTCAGTGCACCGATCGCGCAGTTTCGCCGTTATGACAGCCGTAACGTCCCTTATTGCGAAAAGTTATGGCTTTGCTGGCGCACGTCCGAAGATGCACACGTAGTGTAGTATGCGCGCGCCCCTAGAGTTTTCCTAAATTCTGATTAACGCGCGCTCTGACGGAGCGTACGCTCTACAAAATAATTATACGTTTGTACTTAATGAAAGGTGCGTCGGCGCATGAAAATAGATGAAGCTTCGTCAAAACGTTGCAATCCTTTCGATCTTCTGCGACATTGCCACTCGAAATTTAACGGCGCGCCTCAGAATTAGGTAGAAATGAAGATGCATTAATCGACATATTCGTTAATTCCGACTGTTTAGTTTATGAAGAACGTTCAGCTGTAACTTTTTAGATAAAACTATGAGTACACGGAAAGAGAAGTTCGGTCGAATTAACCAATTTCTGGTAAGATATAAATAATCCGGAATCAAGATTTCTGTGGCCGGCTTAGGCAGACTTCTGACAATTTCAGTCGGATTTTCTAACTTGTTCGTATTTCATCAAAAATTACTTGATCCGATCAAGCTTTTTCTTTATGTAAAACTATCAGAGTGAATGTTTGCGAAGTACGCAGTGTTGCTCTACGAATGGAATATTTCGCGCTTCACATTGCCATGCTAATTTCAACGAAATGGAATCGTATGATCAAATTTCATGGTTTGTATCGATGGAAACGATCGCTATTTTTCCCGAATTTCAGCTGGATATTGAATCAACGGGACATTTAATACAGAATGCCACGATATTTCAAAGAAAACATAACAAACATAACAACGATCTCTCCCGGGATTCTCTCGAAGAGAAAGTCAATTTCAAGTTTATCAAACGGTTGTTTGAATTTAGAGCGGTGCGCACGCATATGGAATTCCGATACGTAAGTACACGAGCACAAATGACACGGGAGCAAAGGGTTAATCTGCACGTTTATTCCCTTGGCACGTCCCGACCGTTGCATTTCAATAAGATTATTAATATTGCTATCGCGACAGATGGCGCGGCAAATATCTCGACGTTGGATTCGTTACTTTAGTTAATGAGAGTATCTGCTCGTCGATAGCTTATGCCTCGACGATATACCGGCGCGTAATGGGATACACTCTTTAATTAAGTGAAATTGGCGGCACTAAACGCCCGCGTAAATTATTGATACGGCAGAGAGAGAGCCCGTGCAAACGCTGTCCATCGATGCGTTCTCATTCGCTTAACGCCTCCTCGCTCTGGCGCCACGCTGAGAAGAAGTTAATTACGTAGTTGTAACGAGGAAAGTCTAACGTCCGTTAGTATCGTCGGATAAAAACTTAAAACTCGAGCAGCGAAAGAGAGAAAGAGAGAGGAAGGGATGGGTTGGCAAATCGGCTGCTTTATGTTTGCTTTAATTCAACTTCTAATTGATTGTCTACAGTTTATTGTCTTGTTAAATGTCTCTGCATCTTGAAAATATTGGATTTACAAAATGTAGGACAATAGATGTTTTTTTTAATTTCTACTTGAACAGAGAAAGAGACAAATTGCGCTGTACAACGAGGACGAAAAATTTGCATTTCATGTTGTACCACTCAATATAATTTCTTCAAAATGTGTATCTTTCTCTACTCTTCTCGAAAAATGCGACACGCAATAAAAAAATAATTACTGAAGCATTAT